GGGGGGAGGAGAGGTGGGGGGGGGGGGAGGTAGGAAGAGGAGAGAGAGAGAGAGAGACCGGAGGCTCAGAAGAGAAAACCAACGTAGAGGAGAGACATGAAAATCCCGTCTTATGACAGGCTAATTGGCGAGTTTATCATAATAGGTCTGGATGAAAAAAAAATGCATCAACACTGTTGTTGATGGATAAATGTTTTAGTTTGGGGGAATTTGATTTTTTAAAGGAAAAAAAATTTCTGTGAAAAGTAGACCCTTTCTGTGACAAATTTGATTTGGCAAATCTAACATTTATTATGAAAAGTGGCACCATGGATTTTTTTTCATTTAAAAACCAAACGGCCAAACCCCAGAATATTTGGATTTGGCAATACTACCACAGTGCCTGAAGGGAATTGTAGTTCAGTTTCCTCATGTTCCTATTCTTTTCTGGCAGAAAGCACCAGACTCCTTAGCTGACCCACATATCCCATGATGCACCATAGCCAGGGACACCGAGAGGAGAGACTGTGGTGCATCATGGCAAACAGTCTAATGACAGAACACTACCTAAACCATGGAGAATGTGAGCCTGAAGCACTCAGCTAGGATTTCTATGAGACAGGCAGTGGCATTTTCAAATGTTCACCATGTTAGGCCTTGCACACACACTTAACAGAAGAGATGTTTCCTGCCCCCAAAGGGTTCACAATCTAAACATATGATGAGAGCAACAGGTGGATGCAACAAACAGACGGGGGAAGCACAAGGTAATGAGATGAATATGATTAACATGATAAGCAGCGGTCACATCACACCAGCTGCTTAGCTGCTGTCAAGTGTTCTGTAGGCATCACAATGCATGTGAGTTTTAAGAAGAGCTTTGAAGGGAGATAAAGTAGTGACTTTGCAGATTTTTACGGGGAGTTCTTTTGGGAGGGGGAGCTTGGGAAAAAACAAAAAGGTGCATGTGGGAAAATGTGATGATTTAATAGGCAATGAAGTCTGTAGAATGGGCCAAATTTATCCTGGATGTCTCTCCACTGAACTCAGTTGCACCAAAGATCAATATGGTCCTCTCTGTACAGGAGAGCCTCGTGATCCGTGGATTCACTATTTGCAATTCCGCATATTCGCAGGTGTCTCCTGGTCTTGTCTGGAAGGGAGGCAGTGGGAGCTGGGAGCCACAGAGTATTCACTGCAGCTGCTGGCTCCTGCAGTGAGTTCCCCACAGCTTCTGAACTCACCGCAGCTCCCGGCCCCTGAAGTAAGTTCTCTGCGGTACTCCGCACTTTCCATGTATTCCCCGCGGCTGTTGGGAGCTGCGGTGAGTTCAGTACTCTGGACACTGGGAACTCACCATGGCTCCTAGAAGCTATGGTGAATTCCCTGAGGCAGCCGGGAGCCATGGGGAACTCACCATGGAAGCTGTGAGCAAGGTAGCCAAACTCCCCAGAGGCCAGGGAAGGTTGGGACCATGCCATACAGCATCTTGGATCCCCGGCAGCTGAGGAAGGTTGGGGCCACACCATGTGGCAGCCCCAACCCTCAGCTGGGGTTGAGTGGACCTTGGCTGGAAGAGTAGGGGGGAGAGGTTGTGTAGAGGGATGGTCTCGAAGGGGCCTTTGTTCAGAAGGGATGGGGCTTCAGCTGCTTTCCCCAGCTGCCTATGGCTCAGCCACGCCTCTGCTGCCACTATCTATGCTACAGCAGCTATCCTGCTATTTGTATTCATGCTGACTTTTGTGAGGTAACACAAATATGTGTCCATGAGTTGGGGACCATGAATGGGGGACTCACAGCTTTCGCTCGTAGTGTGAGCACAGTCTTAGAGAACGGACAGAAAGCAAAATTTCCTGGTTAAACCCGGAACTGGTAAAGGTACTGGACACCAGCCAAAGCTGCTAGAAAGCCAGGATGTTAATTATGGATCCAAATGCGGAATCTATGTTGACAAGAGTTGAGAGGTAGGAAAAAGGATCCCAGACTAGCATGTAAGTAGGCAGGGAAGCTGACAGAATGGCAGGGCCCCAGGGTAAGGTGGAGGGGGTGGCTCTGTGCTCCCAGAAGGGGCAGGGCCTCAGGCAGAAGGCATAGGGCTGGGGCAGCAAGCGCTTTTCCCTGTGCTCCCCTTCACATAGCCCTGGGAGCTACCTGGACTGTGTCATGTGGGGCTCCGGTGGCAATTTAAAGGACCCAAGGCTCTGGCTACCACTGCTGCCACAGTGGTGGTGAGGGCTGCAGCTGGAAGCCCTGGACCATTTTGAATCACCAGGCCCCAGGGCAGTTGTCCTTTGCCACCCATACCACCCCAGCCTGTAATTAGGTTCTCTGAAGCTAGCACCTAGGCAGGAGCTGGAGAGCCCAGAGTTTTTAAGGCATCTGGAGATCTGTCCTGTCTTCCCAATGAAAACCTTATGAGCTTCATTCTGAGCACATCCTGAGAGACAAGAACCGTTCCTCATAAATGAATGACCATGGCGGGTGAGGGAAGACAGAGCCCGCTGCTTGAAACCCACTCTGTGTGCATGTGCCTGAGACTGGGAAAAGCACAACATCCCCAAGGAGCGAAAGCCAGCGAATGCAGTCCATAGATCAAGAGGGGTTAATAGACTTTTGCTGCATTATTAAGTCTTAATTTCTTGTGTATTAAGCGGATGCTATGTTCAAAGATGTCTTCCCTTCAGGGCTTTCCCTGCAAATTAGTTCTCAGCTCTGTGTACTCCATCTCTGAGCATGTATGCCCTAGAAATGACCCTGCACCGATCCTGTTGTCAGAACTAAACTGAAGCAGGACTGGCTCTCTCTCTGGCTCTGGGGGAATAGATATTTGGCAAGACAGAGACATGAGAAATCCTCCTTTTGTGGAGAGTGTCCAGGAAGCAACAGTACTGGATGTAGGCTGGCCTGCTTCATCTCTCAGACCTCCTGGAGCCTGTGCAACAGCTGCTACACAAAAGGGAGTCTAGCACATGTGTCTCTCATTCATTAACTGGTTAAATCTCAGGGTGAGACTTGAATTAATAAAAGGCAAAATGGGCCTGAACTCCGTGGAGAGTTTGGGAAACAGCAACTCCTAAGTGATGATCAACCAGATGTCACAGGGATCTGGATTAGCCTGGAAACTCTGAGTGGAAAGTGCCCCACTCCATGCACAATGCATGCTGTGTGGATCCTATAAAACTGCTTCATTTCCATCACCACAATTGTCAAAATTAATCCTTCATTACCCCAGGCCTGTCTGCCCTAACCCTGCTGCTCTGGTCTGATTGAACACTTAGCTCTCCTGTCCAACACCAGCTCTCATTACAAACTTCTGCATATTTAAAAATGTTGTGTTGTAAAAACAGGAGACGAAACAAGCCATTGTGAATAATTCACAACCTCGCCCGGGTGAAATTAAAAATATATTTCACTGTTGAAGGTCTTTGTTATTTGGAATTTCCCAGGGACGTGGAAGAGGAAAAGGTTGCCCCTGGGAAGAAAAATAAAACTACAAATAAAACTCCATTTGCCTCAATGGTTTTTTCTTTCACTGTCTTGCACTATGTAAAATATGATTCCAAGGAGACATTTCTTCAACAGAAAGGAGTTCTCTCTGCAGAGTTCTTTTAGACCTTGATTCAACATGTCATCCCACTCCAGCAAATCATTTAAGCATGGACTTTGCTGTGTTGGGTCATTTAATGTGGTTGGGAAGGGGGTGGGGGGAAATTTGACTGGATGTATTAATGCACTGAACAGGCAGTTTTGGGGTAGGAAGTCTAGGTCTGCATTCAATAATACCTAGGACCACATGACTTCAATGGGCCTACATCAGTTTATTCCACCTGAGGATATTCTGGCACCTGAGTTGCACATGAAAAATATGCATAAAGGGATGTGAACCATTCTAATCTTATCTACATAGCTGATCATTTATAGGGTGTTTACAGAGTTTTCCATAGCCCACAAAGGAACAAAAGCTAGAAATGCCAGAGATTTCAGTAAGGATTTAGCTATTGCCTGTCTATTTTATGTGCAAGCTGCTCAAATAATATAGTGATGAACAGCAGCCCACTAAGATAAGACTTGTTTGTCACCACTGCAGTATTCTCAGTGTGATTACTAATACATGCCATGCAGGCTATTGAAGTTCATGTGCAAAATGGGTAATAGCTATAGCTGGTTAAAACAAAAAAAACCAAAACAAACAAACAAAAAACCGGAAGAAAAAAACAAAAACATTTCCAGAGAAATGTACTTCCATTTTTCATTTTAAAAATATTTGAAATGTTTAGTCCTGCTTTAGGAACCATGGATGCACCTGCAGTCCTTTCTCTTATTGATCTACTGGCACATACGTCCATACAGGAACCTGTCTCCAGTCCCTGTGTATGTATTTTGCATTAAATTTCATTATTTTTTTTTAAATGTGGCTCATATGTTTTCTTTCAACTGTTGTATCCAGGGCAGGCCTCTCTGTTTGTGTCCTCCATCCATGTCTAATGCCTTGGTATTCTACTTAAGGGAGCACTTTAAGATTATTCTAAGTCCAGTGAGATTCCCATTTCAAAGAAGGTCATTTTCCTTCTATATTCAGTTTCTTTCAGCAAAAGAGCACATCTGGTTTCAAGAAACAAGGCCGGGTAGGGTTGCCAGATGGTTTCAAAAAAAATACCAGACACACTTGAGATTACATCACAATCTACATTACATCTTATTTAGAAAATACCGGACATTTACATTTTCTCATTTATATTTTCTCAATTTGTTTCCCGAACAGAAAGCTCAAATACTGGACTGTCTGGTTCAAAACCACACCCTGGCTAGAAAGGTACCCTGGCTGGAGGTTTAGGTCACAGAAGCTGCAGAGTGGTACAGAGCCCAAATGACAGAAAAGGGGCGGGCGTGCTGGAATAGAAGACCCCCTTGTGATGCCTTGTCCTGGCAGGAGGGGGCGCTATGGCAGCTGGTTTGCCTCCTGAGATGCCACTTGTGGTACTCAGTTTAACTTCACGCATTGCTAGGGCTGCAAAATATTTGAAAGGCCTGGCAGCTGAGCCCTCAGCAGGAGCATAAGTGCACACAGATTGTCCAGAAGGAGGACCTGCGGTTGTGCCTACCTAGTCTCTGGGCAGCTTAGGAGCACAACAGAGCCACACAATTGACACTCCACCTGTTGGCCGAGGAAGTCAGCAAGCGTTCAAGCCCAACGCAACAACTGACCTCAACCTGCTCAACTCACATGCCCCATGCTGCAATCACTACAGCACCTGTCTTGTTTCTAGTTCTGGTCCTGCTTGCTCCCAGCCTTGTTCCTCATGCCCCATCTGCTGCAGCCCTGGCTTGGTCCCTGAGACTGGGCTCTGACTCATTGACCCTGACTCCAGTTCTGATGCTGGGCGAGCTGTTCTTGGCCTGACCACCTCTGCTCTGGCCACTAGGCATGACTGCCCACTCTACCTACACATACTGGCTGTGTCTACATTGGCATCCCTTTCCGGAAAAGTAGGAATAAGGGATCCTCCAGAAAAGGGCTTATTTTCCGGAAAATCGCATCTACACTGGCGCTTTTCTCCAGCAAAAACCCCGAGCCGGAAAAAAGCGGCAGCCATGTAAATGCAAATGCCGCGGGGGATATTTAAATCCCCCGCGGATTTGCAATTCCGAAGTGTCTCATTAGCATCCCTTTTCCGGAAAGGGATGCCAATGTAGACACAGCCACTGTGTGCACTCAAAACCCAACACAGACATTGCACACACATCATAGAAACACACACTTCTCAGCTCAAGTACATGTAAACACAGATCACAGAAACCTTACATATATGCTAGTGTCACACATAGCACACCTGTACTGAGGCTTGCATCACACACGCCAACACACATTGTCACACCAAACACACATTACATCTGCCACACCCCCACATCCCCACTCTGCTTGATAAGCCAAGGAGGCTATTCGGAGTTGGCCTGGGCTACTGAGCAGGTATGCGGGACAGTGTGGGGCTCCAGATGGGAATGTGACACACCCTTGTCTCTCACATCCAAAATGACAGTGTCAGAAGAGCATATTTCATCCCCCCACCACCCCATCACAGAAACCTGTGTAAGAAAATATCCCGGTGGCCACCTACCTCCCAGGGTGGCAGAGATGAGGATGTGGGTGCCGTATTTTTTTATGATGGTATCAATGAACTGTTGCGTGGTGGGTCTCCTGCCCAGCAAGCGGATGCTCCTCTGGAATTCAGGCATCAGGGGTACTGGGTTGCGGGTCAGGTCCCTTCGTTCGATGGCTGTGTTCCTCACCTTCCAACGGGCAAACTCCCTATGCGACAACATAGGAACACAACACAGGTGAGGCTCTGAATCTGGACAGGCAGGGAGAACCACCAAGGAAGGGGGAAGATGAGGGCAAAGGGGAAAATATTGTAGGACATCCCCACATAGATACACAGGTGAGGCTCCGAAGCTAGACCTAAGGAGGGGGAGGAAGAGGAGAAGCAAGAAATTAATGCACAAAACCAACACAACTTAAGGAACAGGGTCTGAGCTAGTGATGGGGTAACCTCAACTAGTTCAGCAATAAATGTCAGATGAGCTCCCAGAAGAATGGCTGGCCCTATGAAGGAAGCAGAGTATCCCACATCTGCTATTTCAGGGCTCCTACTCCTTCATGTAAAGCAGCTAGATTTGGCTGTTCTTGGGGTGTGTCTAAACTACAGGGTTTTGTCAACAAAACTATACCTGGTCTACACTACTGCCGAGTTCTGTCGACATAATGTCGACCCCCAGCACAGAAAGAGTACTCCAACTTATGCTCCAGCCACTGGGCTACTGGGAGAGTGATTCCTTTTGGAACTGTCACTGTAGCCAGGGTGAACTCACCATCTCCTTGCCAGCTTGCTAACTCCCCCTCTCCATCTTAAAGCACGGTTTAAAAGCCACCAGCTGCTCCGTGCTGCCCACAGCTCATGAGCTGTCAGCCTGTGCCCCTCCCACACACCCACAAACCCCAGGACTTACAATTACCAGCCAGCCTCCTTGCCCCCCTACCAACACCTCAACTTTGCAGTTATTATTTACTGCATAATTTCTGTGTGATCAAGGGAATGAGCCAAATAGCCAGCTCCAAAGAGCTTCCTTTCTAAGAGCCAGATGGTATCATTCTGCATTGCATAGGTGAGAGGCCTCTGTGTATGGGCTTATCTGGAGCACATCGCCAGCATTCTCTGTAAGCTGTGTGCTTGGGCAGCCACCCAGGAGAGATTCAAATACCACCCAGATGATTAGCAGAGAGCCCACAGCCAGCAGCCCGTGTTTCTATTGGTGATGCACATCTGCACATGCCATGGTGCACATAAGAAAAATTATTCTGCACCCGAATGGAAAAAATAGAGGGAACAATGGACATACCCCTTGTCGTCTTTGAACATTCCAGCGCATAGCCTTAACCTGGACCTGTCTGAAATAGACATCTGCAAGCTGCTCAGATTTGCACACCAAAGGGAAAAAATCTAATTTCAGAGCAACATTAAAAAGAAAGATTGTGCAAGCTAAAAGTGATCATGCCTGAGTATGACAGAGTGATCAAGGGAATGAGCCAAAAAGCCTTTTTTTTTCACTTCCCCTTTGCCCTCCCTCTCCCCTTCATGGAGTGTGTGCTGTGATTGGCAGGTGGAAACTGTTGGCTTCTAATTAAAGTTTGAATTCTAGAAGCCTCTGCTGGTCGGCTGAGCCTTGGTATGAGGAGGGACTTTTAGGTACTCCAGGGCTTTATAAGGCAGTGGGCAAGCGACCAAGGAGCTTGCGAACAGGTGAGTGCTAACAGGGAATTTAGAGAGGGAATTTGGAAGGGGAGAGAGAAGGGCCTGAGGTTCTTTTGCTTTTCTTTTTAAATCCCTTCTCCAGGACAGCAGCGATGGATGGTGATAGGTCTGCTGTTGTTACCTGCACGGAGTATGCCATGTTTGTCTTCCTCGCGGAAGAAAGAACTGATTTCATCTGCACTAAGTGCAAGCTGGTCACCATTTTAGAAGAAAAAATGAGAGGACTGGAGGCCCAAGTGTCGACCCTACGCTCAATCAGAGAGGATGAAGACTTCCTCGATAGAAGACAGTGTTTAATCCTTCAAGCATGGCAGGCGGAAGACCCAGAGAGGGCAGTACATGACCAGGAAGAGAACTGGCAGCATGCAACTTCTAGAAGGGGAAAAAGGCCAGCATGGGAATCCCCCAATGCTATAGAGGTAAGTAATCGCTTTCAAGCTCTCTCCACAGGCTCTGCAGTGTTGAATGCTTTGGAAGGGGCCTTCCAAGGAAGAAACCGGAAGGAACACCATCTACTGGAAGGCATGGGATGCGTAATCCTAGGGATGGGGGTTCCATGGCCACCACCCCCAAAAGAAAACAACGGGTGGTAGTGGTCGGACCTGGAATCTCGAGAGGTGTGCTGCTTACCGGGAGCTCGCATTCAGGATGTGACTGAGAGGCTTACCAAACTGATCAAACCTTCGGATCGCTATCCCTTCCTGCTTCTTCACGTGGGAACTAACGATACGGCCAAGAATTACCTTAAGCGGGTTACTGCGGATTATGTAGCACTGGGAAGAAGGATCCAAGAATATGGAGCGCAAGTGGGCTGTGTCTACATTGGCACCTCTTTCCGGAAAAGGGATGCTAATGAGACCAGTCAGAATTGCAAATTCCGCAAGGGATTTAAATATTCCCCGCGGCATTTGCATGAACATGGCTGCCGCTTTTTTCCGGCTCGGGGTTTTGCCGGAGAAAAGTGCCAGTCTAGACGGGATCTTGCGGAAAATAAGCCCTTTTCCAGAAGATCCCTTATTCCTACTTGAAAGGGGTGCCAATCCCTTATTCCTACTTGAAAGGGGTCCCTTATTCCTTTCCGGAAAGGGGTGCCAATGTAGACACAGCCGTGGTGTTCTCGTCCATCCTCCCTGTTGAAGGGAAAGGACTGGGCACGGATCGTCGAATTGAGGACGTAAATGCGTGGTTGCGCATGTGGTGTCGCAGAAAGGGCTTTGGTTTCTTCGACCATGGGACTCTGTTCCGGGCACAAGGATTGTTAGGAAGAGATGGGATCCGCCTAACCAAGAGAGGAAGGAGCATCTTCACAGGCAGGCTTGCAAATCTAGTGAGGAGGGCTTTAAACTAAGTTCGTCAGGGGACGGTGACCAAAACCCTGTGGGGAGTGGGAAAGTCGGAAACCGGGAAGAAATGCAGAGAGGAACGAGTAAGAAAGGAGGACTCCTGATTCGAATGGAGAAGATAGGGCAATCAACTGGTTACCTGAGGTGTTTCTACACTAATGCGAGAAGCCTGGGCAACAAACAGGAAGACCTGGAGGCCCTGGCCGAGTCCAAGAAATATGATTTAATTGGGATAACAGAGACTTGGTGGGATGACTCGCGTGACTGGAGTGCTGTCATGGAAGGGCATAAACTGTTCAGGAAGAACAGGCAGGGGAGAAAAGGAGGAGGAGTTGCACTATACGGAAGAGAGCACTATGATTGCTCTGAACTCCAGTATAAAGAGGGAAAAAAACCTGTTGAGAGTCTATGAGTTAAGTTTAAAGGAGCAATTTGGTGTCTGGTGGTTGGTGTCTGCTACAGGCCACCGAATCAGGTGGATGAGGTAGATGAGGCTTTCTTCAGGCAACCGAGAGAAGCTTTCGGATCACAGGCCCTGGTTCTTGTGGGGGACTTTACTCATCCTGACATCTGTTGGGAAACCAATATGGCAGTACACAGGCAATCCAGGAAGTTTTTGGAGAATGTTGGGGATAACTTCTTGACACAAGTGCTGAAGGATCCAACCAGGGGCCGTGCACAGCTTGACCTTCTGCTCACAAACAGGGAGGAACAAATAGGGGAAGTAGAAGTGGGTGACAACCTGGGAAGCAGTGATCATGAGATGGCAGATTTCAGGATCCTGACCAAAGGAAGAAAAGAGAGTAGTAAAATACACACCTTGGACTTCAAAAAAGCAGATATTGACTCCCTCAGAGACCTGATGGGCAGAATCCCCTGGGATGCTAACATGAAGGGGAAAGGAGTCCAGGACAGCTGGCAGTATTTTAAAGAAGCCTTTTTGAAGGCACAGAAAGAAACCATCCCAACACGTAGCAAGAGAGGCAAACATGGTAGGAGACCGGATTGGCTTACAGGGGAAATCCTTGGTGAACTTAAGCACAAAAAGGAAGCTTACAAAAAGTGGAAACTTGGACAAATGACCAGGGAGAGGTTTAAATGTACAGCTCGAGAATGCCGGGGGGTTATCAGGATGGCGAAAGCGCAAATGGAATTGCGACTGGCTAAGGATGTGAAGGATAACAAGAAAGGTTTCTACAAGCATGTTAACAAGAAGAAGGTGATCAGAGAGTGTGTGCGGCCCCTACTGGATGAAGGAGGTAACCTACTGACAGATAATGTGGGGAAAGCTGAAGTACTCAATGCTTTCTTTGCCTCTGTATTCACGGACAAAGGTGGGCTCCCGGACTAATGCACTAAGTGACACAAGATGGGCTGAAGATGGACAGCCATTGGTGGGTAAACAACAGGTTAGGAACTATTTAGAAAAGCTAAACGTACACAAATCCATGGGTCTGGACTTAATGCATCCAAGGGTAGTGAGAGAGTTGGCAATGTGATTGAGGAGCCTTTGGCCATTATCTTTGAAAGATCATGGCGATCAGGAGAAATCCTGGATGATTGGAAAAAGGCAAATGTAGTGCCCATCTTCACAAAAGGGAAGAAGTACAATCCAGGGAACTATAGGCTGGTCAGTCTTACCTCGGTTCCTGGAAAAATCATGGATGGGATCTTTAAGGAATCCATTTTGAGGCACTTGGAAGAGAGGAAAGTGATTAGGAATAGTCAGCATGGATTCACAAAGGGAATGTCGTGCCTGACCAATCTGATTAGCATCTATGATGAGGTAACTGGCTCTATGGATGTGGGAAAGTCAGTGGATGTGATATACCTTGACTTTAGCAAGGCTTTTGATATGGTCTCCCACAATATTCTTTCCAGCAAGTTAAGGAAATGTGGATTGGATAAATGGATAGAAAGATGGATAGAAAATGGCTAGAAGGCCAGGCCGAGCAGGTAATGATCAACGGCTCGATGTCAGGCTGGCAGTCAGTTTCTAGCTGAGTGCCCCAAGGTTCAGTTCTAGGACCGGTTTTGTTCAATATCTTTATTAATGACCTGGATGAGGGGATGGATTGCACCCTCAGCAAGTTTGCAGATGACACTAAACTAGGGGGAGAGGTAGATACACTGGAGGGCAGAGATAGGGTCCAGAG